ACACAAGATGGCCTGCAAACTTCGAGCTCTATATAGAGCGAGGTAGGAAGTATTTTAGGCTTTCTGGGCCAGATATCATCTCCGCTGCATGTACTTGTTAGTCTCTTTCTTTTTCTAAGCAACTCTTTCACAAACAAATAAAGCAACAAATGTTTGTAGCCCACAGGGCTGTACAAAAATAAGCCTTGGGCTGTGGTTTGCCAGCCCCTGCTGCAGAACGGAAAACGTGTGAGGGCTGTTGTCCTGTGAAGTCGTCATCCATCCAGCTTCTATAGCGAACACTTGCTGAGTAGTGTAAGTGCCCCTTCCTCAGCCTGGCACTGGGTATAAGGACGATGATCGATACATAGATTTACCCATAAAGAGCTTACTTTCTCTTGGGGGAAACCAGCGATGCAGGGATCAAACCGATCTACGATCATAAGGCATCGTGTAGTTACAGACAAGTGGGTGCTTGAAGCAGACACATTCATGGGATACTTCAGATAATAGAGGCAGAGTTACCAGGACGGAATGTTGTTTTCCGCTCTATTCCTTCATCTGCCCCCCCTCCTTAACCTTGCTCTCCAGGCTCATACTTTGTTGAAAGATGGGGACAGTCTGTAATTACTCCACAGGAACTCTCTTCGTTTGCAGTTCCAGCCCTCTCTGCCACTGCCTTGTGCCATTGTCACTTACGGTGTCTCACCTGTCCTTTGTCCTATTCATGCCTTCCAGTGTGAGCAAGAATTTGGGTTTGCAAGAGTCAATTGCCATATTGTTTCCCTTTTCCTATTCTTTTTTTAAAAATGCACTAGGGTCGCCTGCGTGGCTCGCTCGGTTAAGCGTCCAACTTCAGCTCAGGTCATGATCTCACAGTTCATGAGTTCGAGCCCCGCGTCGGACTCTGGGCTGATAGCTCAGAGCCTGGAGCCCGCTTCGGATTCTCTGTCTCCCTCTGTCTGCCCCTCCGCTGCTTGCACTGTGTCGCATTGTCTCAAAAATAAATAAATGTTAAAAAAAATTTTTGTTTTAAATGCACCAAGAGACCTTTCCCCAAAAGAGTGACTTTTTTTTTCCCCTCTTGGTTGCTGAAATTCAGATGTGTGGGGGTTGCTCTTCCAGCGTTTTGTGGCATCTCCTTAAGATCTAAAGTTTTCATCTAGAACATACAGGCAGTTGAAGTTGGTGTTCCCACTCAGAACTGACCTCAAGACTCAGCGGTACATCATGTGAAACCTAACCACTCCAAACTGGCTTGCTACAAGCTTCCTTTCTCACTGAGCTTTGTTGACTGACGATACCAGACATGATTTAGGTGACAGATTCTCTTTGAAAGGTAATGGTTCTCTCCCTCGTACCTGGACTGTACTCTCATCACTGTATTCTCATCAAACGCCTATAGTAGGTGAAGACTGCCATTTGAACAACGATACGTACTCTCTCTGACGTGCTCTCCGGTTCCATGTCACCTACCCAACCTTTTTTCTTTCTGTTTCCTTGTGTGAAGCTATTGGTTTGGGAAAACTACTCTTCCTCAAATCATATATTCTTACTTTTTAACAGAACATTTCTTCTGGTCACCACTCACTTTTTCCCATTGTTCGTTGGCCAGTTCAGAGGTAGTCCTTGCCACCGCGGTTCCCTGTTTCTCCAAGGTTTTCTATATTCTGCCAACACATAGACTGTAGCACACATTTAGCCCCATCCCTGCTTGCTGCATTATCTGTATGCATTTGTACACGTGCCCTAATCCTCTCCTGGGTTATAACCTCTTTGAGGGCAATGCCATGCCCACAGTGGCATCCAACAGTGCTGTGTTCAATGAGTGAATCTAGTCTCTGATCATGAGGACCGCTTCTTCACAGGTACCTGTGAGGGGAAATGAACGACGTATAAAACCAGTAGAATTCTGGCATTCTCGTCCAGTGGAGACAAGCTGACACAAAGGTCTCGCTGAACCATGACTGCCTTTCTCTGTCTTCTGCCACTGTTTCCATCCATGCTCTTCTTCCCAGAGCCAGGCCAGGCTAGCACATGACCCAGAGTTTGACATACAAGACATTGTATGTGGTCAGATAGCTGGTGCTAAGGACTCCCCTCCATCAATCCCCAGGCATGCTTCAGTGGTCCAAGCTAGAAAAATGGCTGCCTTTCTTTTTACTCTTCTCAGCTTTGTAGTAATATTTCCACTGTTGTGGGGCGCCTGGGTCCAACTCTCGATTTTGGCTCAGGTCGTGATCTCACAGTCCGTGAGTTTGAGCCCCGCATCGGGCTCTGTAATGACAGCACCAGTCTGCTTGGGGTCTTCTCTCTCCCTCCCTCTCTGCCCTTTCCCTGCTCTCTCTTTCTCTCTCAAAATAAACATTAATTTTTTTTTTTTAA